AATAGAATAGAATAAGGGATAGAATAGAATAAGGGATAGAATAGAATTAGAATAGAATAGAATAGAGTAGAGTAGAATAAGGGATAGAATAGAATAAGGGATAGAATAGAATGAGAATAGAATAGAATAAGGGATAGAATAAGGGATAGAATAGAATAAGGGATAGTATAGAATAGAATAAGGGATAGAATAGAATAGAATAGAATAGAATAGAATAGAATAGAATAGAATAACAGAGTTGGAAGGGACCTTGGAGGTCATATAGTCCAACCCCCTCATCAAGCAGAAGAATCTATCCCATTTCAGGCAAATGGCTGTCCAATCTCTTCTTGAAAGCCTCCAGTGATGGGGCACCCATAACCTCCCAAGGCAAGCCGTTCCGCTGGTCGGTTGTTCTCATCATTGGGAAATTTCTCCTTAGTTCTACAGTAGTAGGTTGCTTCTCTCCTTGATTAGTTTTCAGTCATTTCTTCTTATCCTGCCTCCTGGAGCTTTGGAGAATAGCTTGACTCCCTCTTCTTTGGGGCAGCCCCTCAAATATAGGAAGACTGCTCTCATGTCTCCCCTAGTCCTCCTTTTTATCCAACTAGACATACCCAATTCTGCAACCGTTCTTCGTATGTTTTAGCCTCCAGTCCCCTAATCATCTTTGTTGCTCTTCTCTGCCCTCTTTCCTAGAGTCTCAACATCCTTTTTTACACCGTGGCGACCAAAACTGGATGCAGTATTCTAAGTCTGGCTTTACCAAGGCCTTATAAAGTATCCCTCTGTTTATGCAGCCTAGAACTGTATTGACTTTTTTTTTGGCAGCTGCTGCACATGGCTGGCTCATATTTAAATGGTTGTCCACTAGGACTCACAGTCACCACATATACCGAACCTGTGCATTTTTGTTTTTCTTACCTCAGTGTAGAACCTTCCTTTTTCCACCACTAGAATTTCATTCTTCAATTCTGAATCTCATTCTTTTGAACTGACTCGTTCTAGGACCCAGAAGAGGAAGCCACTTGTTGGTAATGTGATATAAATAGAATACCCAAATGGGACAAAGTTTGAGGAGAAAGTCTGACATCACTTTGATTTTGCTCTACACTCCATCGGGACAAGGGTGGAGGTGTGTATCCCCGAGGCTGTCAGGTTTTCCTAAGAATGAACAACCTCTCGCCACAAAATCCCTCTCTCTGTTTGCCCCAGAGAAGAAATATTTGAAATCTTTACTCTCCAAGGCACCTTCTTCTCTCTTTCTCTCTTTTTTTTTGGGTGTGTGTGAAAGCAAGCCAAATTCCATTTCCACCCAGTGACATCTGAAAGCAAATCTAAAAAGGCAAAACTGTTAGCGAAAGTTGGAGAAGAGAAGCTTGCATCTACAATCATCCCCAGTTTATTCACTATTTTTTCCCCCGTATTCATTATTCCTCTTCCTTTTTTCCCCCCTTTTCTTTCTGGAATGGATTTATCTGACACAGAAGAACTCCACGTTTTGAAACCTTAATTCTTAGACCTCAGGGAAGAGTTGGATTTCGTTTCCTTTTTTTTTTTTCCCCTTCCCACAAAAAACCAATCGACAGAATGGTCTTGTTGTATGGATGATTAGAAGACACCCTTTTGAAAGAAAAAAAAGACCAGATGATGATGGAAAACTGGAAGTTTTATTATTATTGATATTATGAATACCGTGACCTGAGATTTCGTCCCAGCGTCGTTTTTTTCTGGTTTGCAACAGGATCATGGCAAATTGTCTGGTGAAGCTTTGCTATCTCTTTTTGTGGATTTTATTTCAGGTAATGATCTCAAAAACCTGTGGCATTTATTATTCTCCCCCTCCTCTTTTGGAAATGTTTACTGCTCTGAATCCTATTCACGTATCTGTTATATATTTTTTAACGTGCAGGTTTACAGGACTCGTACTTGGCCACAAAAAAACCCTGGTAAGGAATCTTTGCTATCTCGAAACTTTGAAAACCTTTACGATTGCTGCATCCTTCTCCTTTGATTTCCCCATCTCTCACAAAAGCATGCTTAGATATATTGTTGAGGAACATCAAATGCAACAAGAAATAGCACTGAGAAGGTTGTTGGGTCTCAGCAAGACAGGGGCTTTGTTTTTAGGGCTTGAAAGTCAGTATAGGAGGAATTTGGAAGTTCTCAAGAAGGTCTCCAAAAACAGGGATGTGCTGGCAGTGCTAATCTACCGGGCGCTGTGAGTTCAACTCTCCGCAGAACCACAGTGTAAGTTAGGCAACTCTGCAAAGATTGGACAGTAAGCAACTGTCCTAACACAAGAAAAATGAAGGAACCATTAATGCTAGCAAACAAATCCCAGAATCCATTTTAAAGCAGGAATTGTGAACTGGTACCTTTTCAGGTGTGCCTGAACTGTACCTGCCTTTTCTGTCTCACAATGAGATCCATCTTTGGTGCCTGGCCAAACAATTTTGGCACCATGGAGATATTTTTAAATTTTCTATCCTGGATCCCAATGCTAAATTACCAAGTATTAATATTTTTAAAGGTTTTTCTTTCAAATTCAAGCTTTAAACTGACTTGTCTGAAAGTCTGCTTCCTCTTGTTATCTCGGTTTGATTTTTGCAATAAATAAAAGGGAATGCGGGTTTATTAAAATGATTTATTTTGGGGCCAATTCAACCGTTAGGTAATGTGAGCTTCTAATTTTGAGATTGGATGATGTTAGAGTCCAGTAATACTGAATTTTCTCATGAAAATTACTAGCCTTTTTCTCCCTGTCCTAATTTCTCTAAACCAAGAATGATTATTTTTGTTCACGATAAGCACTTACAAGATGTTGAAGTAGCTTTTATGGCAGTGGAGGCTAAAACATAAAAAGAATGGTTACAGGAACTGGGCCTGGCTAGTTTAATGAAAAGAAGGACTAGGGGAGACATGATAGCAATGTTCTAATATTTGAGGGGCTGCCACAAAGAAGAGAGGGGTCAACCTATTCCCCAAAGCACCTGAAGGCTGGCCTAAAGTAACGGATGGAAACTAATACAGGAGAGAAGCAACTTAGGACTAAGGAGAAATTTCCTGACAGTGAGAACAATTAACCAGTGGAACAGCTTGCCTCCAGAAGTTGTAAATGCTCCAACACTGGGAGTTTTTAAGAAGAGATTGGACAGCCATTTGTCTGAAATGGTCTAGGGTTTCCTGCTTAAGCAGGGGGTTGGACTAGAAGACCTCCAAGATCCCTTCCAACTCTGCTATTCTGTTGTTTTACTCCCTTCCTAAGCATAAAGCTACCTTGGTGTTTAATTCTAAAATGGAGAAACTAATGGTCCCTACACCTATTTTAATTGCAAGAGGATCTGTCTCACCATTTCACTTCCTACCTCATAGGCACCAGCCTCCATAAATTACAGGAAGGGGCCCAATCATCAGAGAAAATAAAATTATGGTTTTTAAGAGCTTGGAGATTCACATTTTTACAAGCTTTCTGGAATGCTTTGGCAGCACACTTTCATGGCTCCATTGCTGTTGCTACTTGCTTACAAGGTTTTTTTTTTCTTTTTCTTTCCCCCTTTTAATCCACAACCATATATTTTTTTTAGCAAGCTTTCTATCCTTGTCCACGCTTCCTTCTGAGTTGCCAGGAAGTGAGCAAGCCATAAAGCCAAAATTTAAGGAGAATCTATTACATAGGCCAATCGTTTCAGGAGCATGCTAAAAATATTCATGGCAAGAAGCCGACTGTTTTTAGGCAAAGTTGAGGAACCTGTAGCAAACTGGATAGTGCTGGACTCTGACTCCTATTAGCCCCAGCCAGGATGTTCAAGGGTGGGGGATGATGGGTGCTACCGCCCTCCTCCTTGTTCCTGAGAGCAGTGCATTCCGTTATTCTAACCATGCAGGGTTCTTCACTGAACACCTGAGAGCAAAGATTTACTATTTTCTGCTTCTCTTTACCAGCTCAAGATTTCTACCTCACTAGTTGTTGATTTAACACTTGTGTTCTTGAGTGTTTATACTGCACATGGAAGTATTTAGTCAGCTTACATAGCTACTGCTTGTATAATCTCTGCTTCTTAGGGTTGAGTTCTTTCAGTGTTGAGTAGAAGGACTGTAACTTGGTAGCAGAGCAGGAGGAGACAGGGAAGATCTGAACTTCATCCGTTTTTGCCTCCCGTGGCAAAGTCCCCATGTTCAATCCTTACTGTATTCACACATGCGCCTTTGTCCAACCTGATGGTCTCCAAATGTATTGTACTAAGGACCACTTCCATGTTGGTTGGAAATTCTGCATACACAGCTCAGGAGAAGCCTCATTTAGGGTGACTGAAATCACATCTAGCCTTGATTTCAAAACCAGCATCTTTGGCTCGGCGCCTCGCTGCTGTTCTGCCATCAATGCAATGGGGAAAGGAGAGGAAAATGGGGGAACACAGGGGCAATAAATCTGTGTGCTTCAAAGGTAGGAATTAGGGAGGAGGGGGGGAATAGTTGAAGAAAAGCATAGCGGTGTGGAATCCGGTTCGTGCCAAGCTTCTTCAAGGCTGTTTGCCCTGAGTGTGGGATTTCACCAGCCTAAATACCTCAGCATTTTCCAAAACATCTCAGCGATGTTGCTTGACAAAAGATGGGCTGGTCATGGAGGGAGGACTTAGATATTGGAACGCTGCTATCATGTCACCCCCAATCCTTTTCATTATAGCACTAGCAATAGCGCTTAGACTTATATACTGCTTCACAGTACTTTACAGCCCTCTCTGAGCGGTTAACAGAGTCAGCCTCTTACCCCCAATGATCTGGATCCTCATTTTACTGACCTCAGAAGGATGGAAGGCTGAGTCAACCTTGAGCCGGTGAGATTTGAACTGCCGAACTGCTGGCAACAGGCAGTCAGCAGAAGTAGCCTGCAGTACTGCCTTCTAACCACTGTGCCACCATGGCTCATACTAGATATATCCAATTAGCCTCTAGGCCCCCAATCATCTTTGTTGCTTTTTTCTGCACTTTTTCCAGAGTCTCCAACCTTAATTGTCACCTTGCTTTATCCAATGGTTCTTGGAAGGCCAAAGACTTTCAATAATTTTCTGTGTGGGATAGGATATGCTTAGAATCTTCTCAAAAGATACTGTACATCGTATCAGAGTAAAAAACGGAGGAAGGGAGGATACTTTCTCCCATCTTCAGGTCCACGACCCAAGCATTTTTCAATTTAAAGTTTAACTCAAGAAAACCCAAAATAGATCAAAGCAGAGGGGAGGGGAAGACAAACAGAACAATATCGTTTGAGTTCCCACAAAGGGAATGACCTTGGTCCTGCTGTATTTTCTTGATAGGTTTCCGTGTTCTCGCTCAAGCATCGCATTATTGGCCTCTGGAGACTGTAGAAGGAATTCGCGAATTAAAGGACACAGACGGAGGTAGCCTGAAGAAGGATGGTCTCCAAGAATAAGATATGATAACAATAGAAAAGAATATTTGTAGCTCAAGGTTGAACTTTGGGGTCCTTGGTGCTATCAGAGCTTGGAAGTTTTCCTGCAGATGTTTCATGACTCAGCTGGGAAACAAAAAAACCCACCAAGCTCAAAGAGCACCAAGAATTACATAATCTTCTTCCCCTTCCTCCTCCTCCTCCTCCTCCCCCCCCCCCCCCCCCCACAATTCCCACTCGAGCATTGGTGATGTTGCCTAGTTGGGTAATGAAACTGCAAGAAAAACAACTACGCTCAGAGGATTTCACAAGTTATGATTTTTGTGAAAGCCATAGCATCAGAAAATGGAAAAGCAGGGGCTGTGGGAATACCATTTTGCCTTGAGCTGTTGATCCAGTGGAAAAATGAGAATTGGGATTCAACCACTGTTCCTTTCCCCCTTTTCCAGATGTGAAAACTTTCTCTCAGGCTAAAAGAAATGCTTTAGTTTGCTTCATGATAGAAAATGCTGTCGAAGTTGGCTGGTGGAGAGGAAAAAAACAGCAGGGACCATTTAGTTTCCAATTTATGTGTTCTATAGACCTATATGTTGTATTGCATGTAACCGTTTTCCTGTAGATGTATCTTTTAAGTCAGATGGTCCCAAGACTGTTGCTCCATGCAAGCCACTTGGGTTATTTCTGAGCAATCTTGAAATTGGACTGTATGCCTTGTTTTGGCAGTAAAGCTGGACCCCAAAGATGAAGCAGATTTGGTCCATTGTTACCAGAGATTACTCATCCCTGGTTGTGATCTTGCACTCCAAATGGTGCATTTCTCAATCTTTGGGGGAGAGAGCATCCATTGATATTTCTACCCATCCTTGTCATGTCTTTCCATCAAGCATTCATGCCATTCACGCTGCCTTTGTCACTCATCGATCTTTGAACCATCATCAACTTTGCCTGCCATGTTTATCCGTTTTGTGTGGTTGTATTTGGCACCTTCCATGAAGCCAATTCCAGTTCTGTCTCTCTCTCAGTGGCATGCCTTTTTTTTTTTTGGCATTTTCAGCTTGGCTTCCAGACAAGATCCCCGTACGATACTCATGTAATCCTTTTGCTGCAGCAGAACAATTGCAGAATTAGAATTTTGTCAAGAGTATGCAGCAATCCAAACAGCACACAAGTAAATAATTCAGCAGGATTCATTTATAGAAGAAATTTCTTTATACACAATAATATACGGTATGATGCATGTATACAATACCCATGAAGCAGAAGTCAGAACCAGAACTCAGAATCCAGAAATCATAATCACAGAAGCTATATTTATTAAGGAGCTGCTTCTTAGTCACCAAACAGTTCCCATTGGCTTACGTCTTGTTATGGCTATCCCAGCTCATAATTTATTATGTACTGGCAATTTTTTTGTTAGCATAAAGGCTTTAATAGTGACAGACCATGAAACATAAATGGGAGATTCTGAATCTATTAGCAACGATTCCTTCTATTTCAGATGGTTTAAGTGATGGGTACTGATGGTTATGTGGCCATCGTGTTTATTTTTCTACATGCAAACATTTCACACATACTTACTAAACCTGGTTTTCATTTATCAAGGTCCAGCGGACCTTCTTTCCAAGTCAATCTTCAGCTTCAGAGACCTATGTGTAATTTTCTTTTTGTAAGACAGATGTTTCAGGAAGTGTCTTTCCTGTAATATTATTACTGAAGATTGTGGAGGGGGCTGAAGAAAGTTTAAGAAGTTTTAGGATGTATCCAATTCCCAGTGGGTTTTAGATCAGTATTGCTTACATTGGAGATGAAAAATTGTTGTCTCCATTGGAGATGAAGAAATCTCAGTATGTTGTCGAATAGCATCTTCTACGGTATTGGCTCCTAGATTTTTTTTAGTCCAACAACACCCAGAAGACTATTGGATCCCAGATCCTGGTCTCCAGATGTTTCCCAGCTCTTGCTGGAGCAATGTGGTGTCATATGGGGGATTTTAATGCCCAAAAGATATTCAATTGTTAACTTAAAGTCCTTCTACCAAAAATAGGCTTAGATGATACGAACATGGGTAATCTTGAAATCTTTGCTTGGTAGAATCAAGTCTTTAGGAGTTGGAGAACAACCATCTCTCCCACCCACATGAGGAGCTAGTTAAACCAGAATCAGACACCAAGGATTCAGTTGTCTCAAGCCTATGTTCTCCTTGCCTATGTGTGAGATTCTATTTGGGTTCTTTTTTTAAGAATGAACCATTGTTTCTCAAATAGGCCAGTTTAATTTTCCATTTGAGCTAGCTCTTTTCTAGCTATAACCCAGGAAGGTGGAATTTTTGGCACGTTTTGCAATGATGTTGGTTGAGAGACATGATCTGGTTGATTAATATCCGTCTTGCATATATTCATGGTGTTGCTTTTCCATTCCATGTTTGTTTGTTTTCTTTCTTCTCTCATGCAGTGCTAAGATCCCACAGCTTCACTGTGCTTCACTACCATAATTCTACTTTTGTTTATACCAATGATTCTGCCTACTCTAACTTCTCTGCGACCGTAGGTGAGAATTCTACACGACCCTTTTCTATTTGTCAAGCTTGGCCATTCGGCTTAAGGATGTGTTCTCCACGTCATTGTGAAGAGCCTTTTGATCTTAAAATCCAGTTTGGTTGGGAGATAAACTTCTTTTCTTTCTTTAACATGGAGCTAAAAGAAGGTTCGGGGCAGTTCTTAGAGAACAGAAACTAAACAATCCAAGGGAAAGCTACAGAAGATCCTTTGTTTGATGATCTGTTTGATGATCTGGTATTGTCATAGCTGCTGCAGTTCTGGCTTGTCAAAATCCTGTAAAATGAAAAAACACAACCCTTATTTGTTTTGTGTTCCTGATTTATGCTTTAAAGTGATGCACAAGTCAAGCCAGCATGGGTCCTTCAAGAACCTCAGCCTCAAAAAAAAAAAAAAAAAAAGCCAACTTTGATTTGATTGGAAATAGACCTATATTAATTCAACACCAGAAGTCCACAGTCTTTCATTCTCCTTTCAGCCAGCCTGTTTCTTGTTAGAGACCATGTTTCCTTGTATCTTTCTGCTAAATTTAGGGGAAACCCTGCCCCCTCAATTTGGGAATGGCTTCTCATGAATGGCTGGAAGAAGAAGGATGATTCCTGGTGCCTATGAAGATTCTTAGTCATCCAGGTCGTAGTTGTCTCAAAGGTGCTTCCCCCCGCCCCCCAAAAGGCAACTGGACTGCTTTTTCCTTGAGGAAGAAGTTTTGATACTCATCCAAGAAGCTTCATCAATTCTTCTTCACTTTCATTCAGAACTGGAGGAGCTTCTTGGATGAGAAATGAAACATCTTCTTCAGAATAGAACTGGAAGGGACCTTGGAGGTCTGCTAGTCAAGCAGAAGACCCCATACTATTTCAGACAAGCGGCTGTCCACTCTCTTCCTCCTCCTCCTCCTCCTCCTCACCCTCCCCCCCCCCTCCTCCTCCTCCTCCTCCTCCTCCTCGGAAAAAAACAGTCCAGTTGCCTTTTGAAAAAAAAAACACCTTTGACAGGATTCCTGGTATTGGGTGAGAAAAAAAAAATTACAATTTTTTTCTGGTCATCCTTCTAAGTGGCAGGGCCAACCAGAATATGTTAAAAGCTGTATCTCTCAATGTTTTTCTTCCCCTTTTCTTCCTTAGATATCGTAGAAGGGATTGTAAACAAAGGTGTCTATATCCCAAACATCAAGGGAGCAACCTTTCTCCTTTTTGGAAATTATCAAAATTCTTGCGTTATTAACCAAGAATTCTGTGAGCCTGAAGGTTAGTCAGACTTTATCCCCACCGCCGTGGTTTTGATATACATTCCTATTTTATTTTATTCATTTTATTCTAGCAACGTGACTGGAAAGGGGGGAGGGAAGGGGAAGGGGCAGAAGGACATTTCTCTGAGCTGCATTTTAAGGGAATCGTAAAATCTCTTTCAGGCATTAGCGCTTATGCAAATTGTTGGTACGGGTTTACATCCAAATTATTTGCTTAGGAAATGGCAAAGCAGCCTGCTGAATAAATTATGCATAATTGTTTATGACTGTAACTAACCACGGGCTTAAAATAATGGCCCTAGGATTGGGAATTCCCTAGACAGAGTCCATCAAGAGTTTACAGCTAATGGTTTGGTTTAGCAGTTTCCTCTGTGGATTGTAATCTCTTCCCCTTGGATCTGTCTTAATGTATCATCAAGGCGTTTCCCCTTAGGACTATCTTAGCTTGTTTATGGGCCAAGTTATTAACTTTGCTGGATAAGAACAGGGCTGGCTCTGAGCATGAGATATCTCTAAGGATCTGCATCTATTTGCTTCTGTCAAGATCCAGGCTAACATCCCGTAAATTTGCTTTTAAAGTTAGAATGGCTTTGTTAATCCAGGGTGTTCTTCCCAAGATGACGAAGGAGGGAGTTTTTCTCCAATCAAAACCTTATAATAGAACTTAGCCCTTAGACTTATACACCGCTTCACAGTGCTTTACAGCCCTCTCTAAGCGGTTTACAGAGTCAGCATATTTCCCCCAACGACCTGGGTCTTCATTTTACTCATCTCGGAAGGAGGGAAGGCTGAGTCACCCGTGAGCCTGGTGAGATTCGAACTGCTGGCAGTAGGCGGAAGGAAGGAAGGAAAGGAAGGATGGAAGGAAGGAAGGAAGGAAAGGAAGGAAGGAAGGAAGGAAGGAAGGAAGGAAGGAAGGAAGGAAGGAAGGAAGG